TCCGCACTGTGGCGGCGGCCGGACGGCGGGGGAGCGGGCCCGCCCAACCGCCCGCCCCGCCCGGCCGCTCCCAGCCCCGCCCCGCCAGCCGACCGTGCGACTGCGGGCCGGGGCCCCGGCCGCCGCCCTGACCCGTCCCCCGCCCCCGCCGCCCCGCCGCCGCGCCGCCGGCCGCCCAGCCGTGACCCTACCGGCGGCCGGCCCGCCCCGGCTGAGGTCGACGCCCGGGGGACAGCTGAGCGAGCGTCGGCCGGCGACAGCTTGCTGCAGCTGCTGCGGTTGCAGTAGCTGCCGAGTGACGGGGCCGTAGCAGTGCCTATCATATTGTTGAAATGCGAATATTGTTTGTAAAATATTGGTCAAGGGCCTTAACATTATCCATTTCCTAATGGTGGGACCAGTTTTCGTCGGTACGCTTTTGCTGTAACTAGCTCAGCGGTCGATAGGAACCTTTACGGCAGTTATTTGAACCCAGCAGCGAGGTTCTCGGAATAAACTGCTCGGTCCTGAATCTTACGTCCGTCCAGTGATCGAGCAGGTAACTCCATGTGCAGCATTAAAAGCATGACATCATTGAGCCATGGTTCACAGAGTGCATGTCAAGCTCGCATTCGCCGGGTCTCACGTCTGGGGCGGAAATTGCCCTGCGTGGCTTTATTCTGTGAGTCGTGTGCTATGCAAGGTGTTTCGTTCCAGTAGGGTGCTGTCTAACAAAGCCGTCAACACTGAAATCGGGCCACCTTTTACGGCACGTAATCTTGCTGATTGTGATACAGATGTTGATTTTCCGCACATTCCATTGTTTTCAGCATCTCAGCCTTGAAACTACAGAATCTAGAGTTTCAGTGCAGGGGTTACAGTGTCAAGTCCGCGCAAACTTGGAATGATGCCAGACGCCCCATTCCAGACTCATTTTTGGACTCGGACGAACGGGATGCATTCGCTTCACAGTTAAGCCATGAGCGGATGCAGCTCAACCTCACCAACCCCTCAGAAAAGCAGGGCCCTCGAGTTCGGACATGCGCTCAACTATTTTAAACTGCCAGTGGGCGGCATCTTTTGACGGCACCGAAAACGATAGAACTCATCAACGGACTGTCAGATATAAGATATATGATATAGATATAGTATAGATTATAGATATAGATATATATATTATATATGGCGAGAGAGAGAGAGAGAGAGAGAGAGAGAGAGAGAGAGGGAGAGAGAGAGAGAGGAGAGAGAGAGAGAGAGAGAGAGAGAGAGAGAGAGAGAGAGAGAGAGAGAAGAGAGAGAGAGAGAGAGAGAGAGAGAGAGAGAT